CGACAATAGTTTGTCGCTTTATGCTGTCCCACCCCACGTAAGGCGGTAAGGCGCTATTGTCAGTATGTATTGATTACGTCACGTCCACGATCGTGCCCGAGCAGCCCTAAGTATTTTGAACAGTATCCGAAATTGAGGAGATTTTGGTTCCGTTCGTCGCTAAATTTGCCCCAGCTACGATCAAACCATATTATTTAGAAAGAGAAATCTTTGTGAAAAGATGTAATCGAATTTGTTTTGGCGTACGAGAAGTTTTAGCGGAGATATTTGACTTTGAAGGCGATGCGGTCGTGGCGCCAGTGATTAGCCTTTTACTGTTATATTATATATAGATGAGCACACACAATGTAGGCCACAGAAAATGTTACATCAACCGCTCTAAATGAGCTCATGGAGTAATTAAAAGAATGCAAAGTTATTATACTATCATGTCAACTATATTTTATTGTTAAAATGTATTTATTTGACTAATTTAAGAATGTTTTTAAAATAGTTTTGGTTGACTATAAATTTGTTTATAAAAACCGTTAAAAACCCGCAACACCTGATCATTCATTCTGAGATTGGGCCGCCTGTGAAGTGAACATAACAAATCCTATACACGTTGATTGGTCAAATTTGACGTAATAAGCTGTAGGTGAATACATAGATATAGGAGATCTAGATTGCTAACGCATACCTAGCGCAGGCGGGGCCTACATGATAAATCCAAGATGGCGGTACAAGAGGGCAAAAAGACTATAGATTCTATTACGAAAATCAAGATTTTTGCATTTTTTGCCGTCGCATTGTTTTGAAACTTATTCGGTCAAATTTTATTGGAAAGAGAAACTTACCGCGAAGATTTTGAGCATATTTATGATTGAATTGGATGAAAACTCCCAAAATTATCCAGCGATAAAAGTTCGTGTATAGTACTGATATAGTACTATATATGTAACTTGTACAGTTTTGCTTTAATTTTTGCTCACTATTTGCATAGAAAGCCAATTATAATAGACCATAGATGATAGACCCTTATCCAGTGCTCTCATCAGTTTACTTCTCTAACAAGCAAGGAGGGGGGGGGGGTACATAACAGTTCATTTTTCATAATTATGAGGACAGAGCAGATGATGCTGAAAGATGCAAGTATAAAACACCATTCGCAAGACTAGATGTTAACATAGCACAGTATTTCTGGCAATAAAACGCTCCAACTGACCAACTGACCATTTCACACGAACTTTTATCGCTGGATAATTTTGCGAGTTTTCATCCAATTCAATCATATATATGCTCAAAATCTTCGCGGTACGTTTCTCTTTACCATAAAATTTGACCGAATAAGTTTCAAAACAATGCGACGGCAAAAAATGCAAAAATCTTGATTTTCGTAATAGAATCTATAGTCTTTTTGCCCTCTTGTACCGCCATCTTGGATTTATCATGTAGGCCCCGCCTGCGCTAGGTATGCGTTAGCAATCTAGATCTCCTATATCTATGGGTGAATATAACAAAACAGAAATTTTCAAAATGGCGGCTACCGTTTTGTGGAAGTTTACTGACAAAGCTAGAAATAAGCGAAATTAAAATAAATTCAGTCTCAAAAAACACAAAAGCTTGTGTAAAAATACTAAAACAATTATTCGCCTCAGGTTCGGTGATTATCGGGGAATATATTCACCTCGACTTCGTCTCGGCGAGTATTCCCCGATAATCACCTCGCCTTCGGCGAATAATTGTTAAATAATACCTTTATTTATATCAGGGGGTCAATATGATGTTACGAACTACAGGCCGGTATCTGTTCCTCCAGCATTCCCTAAGCTATTGAAAAAACGTATCCATAACCAGGGGCGGCGCTAACCCTCTTCGAGTGGGGGGGGGGGGTGAGTGATCTTATGCCGACTGTTGTTTGGCAATTTCGCCGAGTCATTAGCCTATAGTGAGGGTCCTGAAGGGGGGGGGTCCCAATCCCATTTTCCACCTGAAATTTTGGCAAAATCCCAGTCCCAGTTAGATTTTTATTAGAAATCCCTGTCCGAGTTATTGAAATCCCAGTCAATAAAAACCCCTTTATTTATCGGTAGAATAAACAGTTTTAAGACCTTTTAAGCCACCGTGTGTGCAAGTAGCGGACACTTTATGAAATATTGGGGGGGGGATAGCGGTGCCGAAGGCACGGAAATTTTTTTAATTTGAATCCCGGAAATTGCATTTGCATCATTCTGAGGCACGCATAATCAGAAAACCAAGAATTCCGGGCGCCAGAGTATGCTTGTTCGCAGGTAGTGCTATGAATAATATAGTTAACAACAAAAATATGACTAAAGACACCAAAAACAGATCAAAATTGGGAATCGACTCACATTACTTCAATCCCATTCCCATTTTCGAGGACTTCATTTCCCATTCCCAGTGGCCAAATCCCATTTTCCCAGTCTAAAAATTGATCAATCCCAGTTCCCATTTTACCCCTTCAGGGCCATCTATAGTAAATGTGCATGTTTAAATGCGCTTTATTACCCTCTATTAAGTCGGTTTTCCGCTAGCGAATTTTTCCGCGCGAAGCGACCTTTATCCTTTGTCGGCATCCATTTTGCAGCCCTCGAAAATTCAAAACCGTCAAAATTGAGGTCGGCAAAAGAGAGCCGACCTAAATCTGACCTAGGTCGGCACATCTCGGCATTTCTTAAAATCCGTGTTCCATGTGTTGGAGCACTATTAATCACGCATTTACGAATCATTGAAATTGGAATATAACTGGAACGTTACCTCCAGCCAGAAAATTCGAAAGTTGGAGCCAAATTTTAACTCCAGACGCGCGAAATTTGATCTTCAGACACGCAACGTATATACACAATACCCGTCAGTAAGTCAGTTTTTAAACCTTACACCGTAGTGTGTTCAGTTAATCGAACTACGAATCGAATTCTATAATCGCTGACATTTTAACAGCTATCAGCAGCAAAAGATTCTTACTTTGGTTGAATTAAGGTCGGCAAAAATTTGCATTTATCCCGGCATTGCCGAATGCCGACCTCGTTTTCGAGGATTTTGCCACGTCTTGCTGACGTAATAAGTGATACCGACAAAGGAAAAAGGTCGCTTCGTGCGAGAAAATTCGCTAGTGGAAAACCGACTTTATTGCCTCTTTTATAGAACAGTATAATAAGCAACAACAACAACAACAACAACAACAACAACAACAACAACAACAACAACAATAACAACAACAACAACAACAACAACAACAACAACAACAACAACAACAACAACAACAACAACAACAACAACAACAACAACCAAACAAATTTAATTACCTAATTATGATTTCAAAAATATTATATTTTTGGACTAGCTGCCAGAAGTGAAGATACTGTATTCGAAAAAAATTGCATTGCTGCATGTGCGGTTTCATTGATGCATGCTATTCGTGATATTCGGTTTGAATTCAATTATTCAGGAGGTCAATTTTGGTTTCTTCAGTGGTTATCTTTAGCCAATCCAGTTTTGCCGACTGAGATAACAATTTGCCGATTAGCTGACGAGTGGGGGGTGTTCCACCCCCCCACACACCCCCTGTAGCGCCGCCCCTGATTATGAA